CCCATGTTCTCGGTGAGCTCATGTTCTAATTGGGGAAGAAGACAACATGTCGAGAAAAGTTCAGCTGCCAGGTCGATGGAAAGGCCTAGAATTCCTAAGAATGAAGTGAAGGGGTGGGGTAGGTAGCAAGTCCCAAGGTTACATCATATGTAGATCAGATGACAGTGCCAAGGGTCTGTAGGGGATAGAGACAGGGTGTATGGTAAGGCTTGGTGGTCCTCTGTCTCACTAGAAAGAATAGAGTTGGTGTCTCCCATCTCATATAAAATGTCAAGCAGACTAGATGGATAGATGAGAGGGTGGGGAAAGGTAAGGGTAGGGAAGGAGAGGAAACACCTGTGGTAGAGAGTCTTCCCAATGCCTGATTGTCCCAGATGGGTTCTGGGAATAAAAATATAGTTCTGGGCTATGAGCCAACCCTTAGAATACCATTGGATATTGTGTGCGTGCGTGTGTGTGTGTATGTGTATGTGTATGTGTACACTTTTGGTCCTTGCTAACTTTAAAGACTTTTGATCTAGAATTTCTCAACAATTTTTCTTGGATATGCTGAGAATGTCCTACAATTTCATTTTCATTTTTAGTAATTTCATTACTAGTTCGTGGGCCTACTGGAGGCAGCAGATCCTCTGTCACTTTCTGTTCTTGACCAGAGACCTTCAGATTGCCTTTGGATTACCAACTCAATAGGGATAGGAACAGGAAGAGTAAGTCTAACCCAAGAGTGATAGATAAATATGCCTCTCATCATACTTAAGGCTGTATGACAAAGAGCAACATGACTTCATTATTAACAGACTATGTCAGACTAACTTCATTCCCTTTTTTAACAGGATTTCTAATCTAGTAGATGAAGGCAATGCTGTAGCTATAAGTTACTTGGACTTTAACAAGCAATTGATGAGTACTTTCGCTACTCGTGTAAAAAAAATGTAGAGATAGGTCTAGAATGAAGATAGTAGTACAACTGGATGGATTTAGAAGTGGTTGAAGAGCTGGACCTAGATTAGTCATTAATGGTTCCATGTCAGTTTGTCCCCTTGGAGGGAGGTCTCCTATGGAGTGTTTCAAAGATGTGTTTGGCATTGTGCTGTTTAATATTTTTCATTTGTGACTTGGATATAGGCATTGATGACATGCTTATTCAATTTGTAGCTGACAAAAAATTGGGAGAGATCATTAATATGCTAAATGGATCCAAAAAGATCTATTGATAGTCTAGACTTTTGAATTCTAGTAAGATGAAATTTTTAAAAATTATTTTTACCCCTATTAAATTTTGAGTTTTATACTTGGATTCAAAAATTGACTTTATATGTATGAGGGTAGGGTAGCATAGTTAGACAGCAGTTTGCAAAGCAAAATGGGAGTTTAGTGGACAGCAAACTTAGTACAAGTTCACTGTGTGACAGAATAGCCAGAAAAGTTAATTTAATTATAGGCTTTTTCTCTAGGAATAAAAAGGCACTATAACCTTACTGTGTTCTGCTCTGGTTGCATCATAGCTGGCATATTGTGTTCAGTTCTAGGTATCACATTTTAGGAAGGATATTGATCAGCTGAAGGAATAACTAGAATGTAAAGGACTGAATATGCATGTTGTGTAAAGCCTTTTTTAAAATCACAAATGGTAGATCCATTCTTAGCACATTTCATTTTTCAGAGTTTCATTGGCTCTTTCATTTGGCTATCCAAACAGTAGGATAACCACCTTCTTTTCTCCCTCATAGAAGGGAAGGTGATAGTATTTTCATATGTATGAGACCTCACTGGATCCCCTAATAAGTATTCTAATATGGGATCAGACGGGCTTACTTGAGATGTATAGCCCCCAAATTTTCTTCCTACCTAATTCTGGCTATAGCTTTTTAGAATCACATTCGGTCCTGGTATGTGTCAAAATAGAATTAAAAAAAAAGGATTGCACATGAAACTGCAACTCTCTTATGTACAACTTGTTTTTCCTTTTAAATATATAATAAAATTATCATGTAACTTTCCTTTCCCTCACCTCCTGCCCTAGAGATGACTACCATTAGACACAGATATATATGTAAATCCACAATCTACATACTTCTGTTTATCAGTTCTTTCTCTGGATGCAGATAGTATCTTCCTTCACATGTCTTTTGTAGTTAATTTGGGTATTTATAATAGTCAAAATGACTTAGTTGGTCAAAGCTGTTCTTAAAAAATATTACTGTTGCTGTATACAACATTCTCTTGGTTCTGCTTGTTTCACTCTTCATTATGTCATGCATATCTTTCTGTGTTTTTCTAAAATTGAGCTCATCATTTATTATAGCTCAATAGTATTCCATCACAATCATATACCACAACTTGTTTAGCCATTGCCCATTTGACGGGTATCCTCACAATTTCCAGTTCTTTGCCACCACAAAGAGAGGGGCTATAAATATTTTTAGAACATACAGGTTCTTTTCCTTTTTCTCTAATCATCTTGGGAAACAGACATAATCATGGTATTGCTGGGTCAAAGGGTATACACAGTTTTATAACTCTTTGGGCATAATTCCAAATTGCTTTCCAAAATGGTTGATTTAGTTCACTTTCACCAACAGTGAATTAGTGTCCCAATTTTTCTGCATCCTCTCCAACATTTGTCATTTTCCCCTTCTATCATTTTAGTCAATCTGGTATGTGTAAAATGATGTCTCAAGGTTGCTTAAATTTGCATTTCTGTAATCAATAATGATTTAGAGCATTTTTCACATGATTATAAACTGTTCTGATTTCATCAGAAAACTGCCTGTTCATATCCTTTGACCATTTATATCTATTGGGGAATGACTCATGTTCTTAGAGATTTGGCAATGTTCTTTATATATTTGAAATATGAGACCTCTATCTGAGAAACTGTCTATAAAATTTCCTCCCAATTTTCTGCTATCCTTCTGATCTTGGTTACGTTTGTTTTATTTGTACAAAACATTTTTAATTTAATGTAATTGGAATTATCCATTCTATACCTCAAAATGCTCTCCTTTTTTATTTGTAAATAGTTTACCTCTCTATAAGTCTGATATGTAATATGTTCCATGTTCTTCCAGTTTTCTTTAATATCTCCCTTTATATCTAGATCACGTATCCATTTTGACCTTATTGTGGGAAATGGTGTAAGATACTGGTCTGTGCCCAGTTTCTATCAGGCTGCTTTCCAAAAACTTATTCCCAAAACTTAAGTCTTTACACTTGTCAAACACCAGGTTACTATAGGGTTATATATGTTATAATATAATTATTAATATAATTATAATTATTATATATAGTATAGTACTATAGTATAAGAAGACTATAGTCATTTGCTGCTTTAGATTGTATATGTCCTCTGTTCCACTGATCTGCCTTTCTGTTTTTTAGCCAGTACCAGATAGTTTTGATAATTAACTGTCTTATAATACAGTTTAAGATCTGGTACTGCTAACCTTCCTTCCTTTACTTTTTTATCATTAGTTCCCTTGATATTCTTGACCTTTTGTTCTTCCAAATGATTTTTTAAATTACATTTTCTAACTCAGTAAAATAATTTTTTTGGTAATTTAATTGGAATGGCATTGAATATATAGATTAATTTAGGTTAAATTGTCATTTTTGTTATATTGGCCCGGCCTTGCCATGAACAATTAACATTTTTCTAATTATTTAAATCTGATTTTATTTGTATAAAAAGTTTTTTATAATTTTGTTCATATAATACCTGTGTTTATTTTGGCAGGTGTACTTTCAGGTGTTTTACACTGTCTAGAGTTATTTTAAATGAGGTATCTCTTACTATCTCTTCTTGCAGGGGGCTCCTCTTTTAATGGCTGGCCTGGTCCTGAGCCCAGGCCCCTGAGATAGAACCAATAATGCTTCATGCCCATACCCATTGTGGATATACATGTCAGACACAGCTGCATTCAAGTGGAAAATGTATGGGGGGGTAAGGAGGTAGAATCAAAATAATATCAGACAGATGAGGGAATTTCAGGTAGAGATAGGAGCTCTAGTGTCTACTCCTACTTTTAGCAAAGGTGAGGTTTTGCTATTCCCATAGAAAAGGAATTATAGGTTCCATGAGCCTAAGGGTAAGAGTTGCTATTACTAGCTTGCCAACTTAGGAAGGTAGTGGGGTGGGGGAAGAGAACAAGGTAACTCAGACTCTTCTCACCTCAAGATGGTATTGAGTCTTTTGGTCTGTGCTCTGCTCTTCTGTGGTCTTCTGGATTGAGAGCTTCTGTTTGTTGTTATTTCTTGGTACTTTGGGGTTTGGTGATGGAATGCATTAACTCTAGTTTGAGCTAATTTGTGAATCTAGATTTTTGAATATTGGATTTATATTTTGTTCTCTTTGATTAGCATCTGTCATAGAATATGATGCTTCTCTTTTGTTTTTGTTTCTAAACTTTATGGTCTTTTTCTCTTTGCCAAGGAATATTCTGTAATATTGGAAAGAACCTTACATGTGTGAGACTTGATTTTTTGAAATATTAGACTATACATTGTTTGTTAACATATTTGTCATTGGATCATAGTTTTAAAAGTTGGAAGGGCCCTTAGGGTTCATGTATTCTAATCTGTTCATTTTAAAGATGAAAAAACTGAGGCCCAGAGAGGTGAAAGGATCTTACTGCTAGTAAGAAACGTGATTGAGACTGGAATACGCTCTAAATCTAGTGCTTTTCCCACTGTACCATGCTGCCCTTCTGTTCTTTCATTTTGGGACTTTGGTCCCTTTATGTCCTTGATTGCCTTGCTTAATTTGTGATATTGCTTGTTTTTAGCTTTTAGGCACTAAACCACCATAGGCATGGTTTGTAGTGACTCCTCCCTAATTTTGTTTTGGAGTCTTTGTTAAGTAGACATGATGAGGAATTCCCAATATTTTTTACTTTTATAATCATTAAAGTTTTTGTTTTAGACTTGTAGGATGGTTGCATCTTGTGATTCAGCTTTGTGTACTTATTTTTTAAACATGGTTTTCTTTTCTTCCTTTACAGGCATATACCATTGTATCTCTCCCTTTACAATGGCGCAGAGGAGTGGACTTGAAGATCCAGAGAGGTATCTCTTCGTGGATAGGGCTGTAATTTACAATCCTGCCACTCAGGCCGACTGGACTGCTAAAAAACTGGTTTGGATTCCATCAGAACGCCATGGTTTTGAGGCAGCAAGTATCAAGGAAGAGAGAGGAGATGAAGTTATGGTTGAATTGGCGGAGAATGGAAAGAAAGCAATGGTCAATAAAGATGATATTCAGAAGATGAACCCACCTAAATTTTCCAAAGTGGAAGATATGGCAGAATTAACATGCTTGAATGAAGCATCTGTTTTGCATAACCTCAAGGATCGTTATTATTCTGGACTTATTTATGTAAGTTTTTTTTTTTAAAGATGGTATTTAAAACTGAATGGTTAATGAGGAATAACTGCAAATTTTTGTAAATGATAACCCATGTCTTAAGCACATGAGCACATTGAACCTTCAAATTCTCTACTAGAATTTCTTTTTGCTGAATTGTAACATTGAAGATAGAACAGGTAATCTGATTACCTAGGCCTTCCTTTGTTTCAAATATAAACTTAATTTGCATATCAGTTTAGGTCACCTCCCTACTCAGTAAATTCTAATAGGTTGCCTGTTACTTACAGAATCAAGTATGCTCTGTTTGGCATTTAAAACTCTTCACAATCTTTCCTTTTCATACATTTGCTGTCTTACCTTTTACTCTCCTCCATGTGCTGTTTTCCAGGTACCCCAGCCTATTTGTAGTTCCTCAAACAAACATTCCATGGTTTTGTCTTTGTGCCTTTACATTGATTGTCACCACTTGGAATGCTCTGCCCCCTCACTTCTGGCTTTCTTTAATATTCAGTGTCTGTCCTCACAGTTGATAGTGCCCTCTCCTTTGATTCTGTAAAGATCCTTTATTTATACCTAGTTATTTATATCCTGTCTCCCCAATTAGAATATGAACTACTTGAAGGCAGGGACTGTTTTTGCATTTCTTTGTATCTTCTTTGCTTATTTAGCACAGTGCCTGGTATATAATAAATAGTTAATAAATGCTTGTTTACTGACTGAAATATCACCAACTAATTGAACATATATAAATGTATTGTAGTGTTATGAGTCAAGAAAATATGTGAAGGGTTGTCAATATAGTTCCTGAAATTACTAGTAGGAGTAAAATAGAGGAAAAAATGCAACTGGGCTCTGATAACATCTGAGAAAGTGGTAGTAAGTTCAGAGAAATGATAAATAAGGGTGATGGAGCATGGGTTTGCAATGAAGAAAAATAGGTGGGAAAGTGGTAGAACATTGGTGTAAAAATTGATACTAGTGAGTATCGGGGAAGCATAGTAATTTTCTATAGCATTATGGATGGAAAGTAGTGAAGTCTTCATAGGTAAAAGGCAGTTGTAGAGTTCCATGTTTCTGATAAGGTAAGAGAAAATGGAAGGGATAGAAATAGAATAATAGAATTTTAAAGTTGCAGGAGACCTATCGAAGTCAGTTTCCTTGTTTTACAGTTGAGGAAAGCATCTATATTGACTTTCATATGTAGTAGACACTCAAGTGTCAATTTCATAGAATTATGAAATTTTACATTTCAAAGGGAACTTAATTCAACCTTTTTTCTTAGGAGAGGATCCTTTCTAGAAGGTGCTAGCTCTCTACTAGCTATCTAAAGCAGGTTGTAGTGGAGAGATTGTAGGATCACCGACTTAGTTCTAGAAGGAACATTGGAGGTCGTCTAATTCATCCTCTCATCTTATAGATGAGTAAACAGGCACAGGGAGGATAAATAACTTGCCCAGGTTGCTCCACAAGTAGTAAGTAGTGCCATGTGGTTTGAATGCAGGTCCTTATTCCAGATTCAGCATTCTTTCCACCATGCCATATGACTTTAGAGCCCTGGGCTTGGAGTCAAGAACTGGGTGTGAATTCTGCCCCAGCTGCTTAACAGATGTGTGACCTGGGCAAGTCATTTAACCTCTATAAGCCCTAGTTTAATCCTCTCTGTAAAGTGGAGATAATAGTACTTAGTAAAGTTGTAGGGAGTCAGTTAATATAATGTATATAAAGCCCTTGTGATAGTGGGGAATTCACTGTCACATAAGCAGTATATGCAATTTTGGGACAGTTGTACTGGCTAGAATTGTTTTTCTTATATCTGCTCAATAACAAATACCTGATAGTACTTGTTCTGGCTCCTGTAGCACTGTTATGTGATAGCTCTCTTCTAATAATTAAGGGGCTACTACTTTGCCCCCATCAGATCTTTCTTATTTAGCTAGTGAGAAAAATATGCTTAAAATAGTTGTAGAATGAAATGTTATGATTAAGCTCAAGTTCTGTTGCCACTACAAGAGTCAGAAGAAACTTTTGATTTTAATTTTTTAGAAATATATTGTTATCAGTATTTTTGTTTTTATATTGTTTTAGATTTTTCCTATATTATTTCTCCTTCCTCCAGAGAGCATCCCTTATAACAAAAAAATTTTCAAAAAGAAAAAGAGGAAGAGAAGAAAAATTCCAGTAAAAATGAGCAATATATTGAAAAAAGCTAACATTTTATGCAATGTTCTGTATTCATGGACAACTGCTTCCTCCCACCTTGGCAAAATTTTTATCACAATAAGTTTTATTGGTTTATCTATATACATTTTTTTACATCACCAAACTTTTCCCTGCATCTTTCCTCTGATCCCTTCCCAGAAAGTCATCTATATGACAGTATTTTTAGAGGAAAAAAAAACAGCAAAACTGAGCAGTATATTGAAAAAAATCTGAAAATATGTTTAATATACCATGTTCATATACCTCCCACCTGAAAAGGAATGGGTTGGGAGTGTCTTCCTATATCTTTTTGGAGATATCTTATTCTTTATAATTCTGCAACATTCATCTTTGATTATTTTCTATTTTTTTTTCTGTTTACATTGTTTACATTGTTTATATTGTTTTTTTGACTATGCCTATTTCACTTTGAAAATGTAAAAATGTTCATGTAAATCTTTCCATACTTCTCTGCATTTGTCATATTCACTGTCTTACAGCACAGTAATAATTCATTGCATGCATCTACCACAATTTGTTTTGCCATTTCTCAATCAATAGGCATTTACTTTTGCTTGTAGTTGTTTACTTTCCCCAAAAATGCTATTATAAGTATTTTGCTGTGTGTAGGGACTTTCTTGTTGTCAATGGCCCCTTGGAGTTTCAGTGGAATCTCTGGGTCAAATGGTATAGACATTTTAGTCACTTTATTTGCATAATTCAAATTGCTTTCCAAGATCCAACAACGGTATACTAGTATACCTAACTTCCCATAACATTTCTAACATTGCCTGCTCTCATCTCTTGTCATTTTTGCCATTTACATACAAGGTGTGAGACAAAACCTCAAGGTTGTTTTGATTTTCTCATTAGTCGATTGGAACATTTTTTCACATGGTTGTTGATAGTTTGCAGTTCTTTTGAGGAAAAGTTTGTTTTTATCCTTTGACTACTTATTTTTTAGTGAATGACTTTTGGTTTTACATTTGTTAGGTGTTTTACATAGCTTATGTATCAAACCTTTATCAGAAATTTCATACAAAGATATTTTTCCTCCCAATTGACCATTTCCCTTTATGATTCTCTTCTTAACTCTCAGCAGTCTGGCTTCCTACCTCATTATCTAACTGAAACTTCCCTCTCCAAAGTTTTCAAATCTAATAGCTTGTCTTTTGAAATGTTTTAAAATTCAATTATTTTATTTTCAGTTTCAAATTTTATCTGTCTCACCTTTCCTCTCCTTACATTACAACTCATTACAAATATGTGTAGTTAGGCAAAACAAATTCCCACATTAGCCATGGCCAATAAGAAGAAAGAAAGAAAAGAAAATGGGCTTCAGTCTGTACTCTGAGTCTGTCAGCTCTCTATCTGGGGGGTGGATAGCGTATTCCATCATGAGCCCTTCAGAATAGCAGTTGGTCATTGTGTCGTTGTGTTGATTAGATTTCCTAAGTCTTTCAAAGTTTGTCATTACAATATTATTACTATTGTATAATTTATTCTTCTGGTTCTTCTCGTATCACTGTGCATCAGTTCATACAAGTCTTCTCAGGTTTCTCTGAAATCGTCTCCTTCCTCATTTCTGACAGCATAATAATATTCTATTATATTCACATACCATAACTTGTTCAGCCATTTCCCAATTGTTGGGCATGCCTTCAGTTTCCAATTCTTTTTCACCACAAAAAGAGCTGCTATAAATATTTTTGTGCATATGGATCCTTTTTCTCTTTCTTTGATCTCTTTGAGATATAGACCTAGTAGTGGTTTGGATGGATCAAAGGGTATGCACAGTTTAATAGTTTTTTGGGCTTAGTTCCCGATTACTTTCCAGAATGGCTGGACTTTTCTCATTCCTCATCCTTGATCTCTCTGCCACTTTTGACATTGTTGATCATCCCCTCCTGTTACTCTTTTCACTCTAGGATTTCATGACACTATTTTCCCCTCCTTCTCCTAACTGTCTGACTGCTCTTTCAGATTCTCCTATATTGGATCTTCATTCACATCACACTCACTGTGTCCTCTAAGCTTTTGCTAGGGACCCTCTTCTTTTTCTCCCCACATATTACTTTGCTTGGTGATCTCATCAGTTTTCATCTCTCTGAAGATGGTCACCAGATCAATTTATCTAAACTTTTGACCTCCAGGCTCACATCTCCAAGATGTATTGAAGGTCTTGAACTAGATATCCTATAGATGTTTTAAACTCAGTATGTTCAAAACTGAACACAGTATCTTTCCCCTCCAATTCCTTCCATCTTAACTTCCCTTATACTGTCAAGGGCACTACTTTCTTTTCAAGTCATCGAGGTTCACAGCTTAAATGTCTTTCTCGATTCCTCATTCTCTGTCACACTCCCCATATTCCAGTCTGTTGATGAGTCCTGTCATTTATGTGTTTATAACATCTCTTGTATACAAATGTCCTCCTCTCCTCTGACACTGACTCTTAGTACCTCATACCTGGACTGTTACAATAGCTTGGTTGGCCTCCCTGCCTTAAATCTCTCTTTACTCTAGTCCATTCTTCACTCAGCTGTCAACGTCATCCAGATGTTTCATAAATGCCTGGTCCCTATTACTTTCAGGATCAAATATAACATCCTCCATTTGGCCTTTAAAACTCTTCATGAGTTCTGTTTTGGACATGAATTTGAGATGCCTACACGACATACAGTTGGTAATATCCTGGGGGTAGCGGGTAGTTCATGATTCAGAACTGGTGCTCTGCGGTGATAGAGAGTAATTGAATCCATTGGAGCTGATGAAGTGACCAAGAGCTAGAGAAAAAAGAGGAAAGGGCT